GACTACCCGGCGGGCTCCGCTCGCTCCGTGCCTGCCATACAGCGCTATTCTGCTGGTTCGGTAGTAGCAAACTGCTACCCGAGACGTATGAAATAAAGCAAGGGAAAGGCGGTGTCTTATTATTGGGATGCCTGCACCTACAGTGAATTGCAGCTCCGCGATGGCGCTGAAGAAGAAACGGGAATGTGACTTCAGGTGAACGTTTGCGATGGTGTCAAGCCTCTGAGAAACAAGCCGCAAGGAGAAGTAAACGAGAGAAAAATGTGCGGGGAGAAAATGAAGTTCCTTCCGCCCGTGCCAACGCTCAGTAGGGGCGCTGCCCGTACACCTGGGGCAACGGGACTTGGCAGCTCGATCCACAGTTGTGATTTTTGAATTCCAACCCACTGGCCTCATATTTCTTCTGCCTTGTTTCCTATTGTCAGCACTGGCAGGCGTCCAGTTTGATTTTACCACTAATTGTGTTGCACGTTACCGAACTGAAATGAATCAAATCAAAATGCTTTTCCTGGAGCATTAGAGAAAGCAGGCGAGGGTTCTGGGTAATGAGCAGATGCTGCTAATGCAGGGACAGGAGAGGCCGTGCCAGGACTCCATCTGCTCCGTGCTTGCCTGGGTTTGGCCGCGAGCCACAGCTTTTGGGAAACAGCAGTCTCCTTTAGCCATCAGTCTCCCCCCACCCTCCGGAGCCTCATAGTTTGACTTGAAAACACTGTGGTGCAACAAGAGAACGTGCTTTTTTTGTTTTTTGTTTGTTTTTTAATGCTATATATCAAGACTCATGTGTGCATGTGAAAGAGGGATGCAGTGCTGCCCCATCCGTGATAATGCTTCAAGACCTGCTTGGGAAGAGTTGGTGGTACTTCACAAGTAGCAAAGTAGCAACTTGGAGCAAAGGAAAGTGGCTGCTGCCCTGATCAGAGGTGTGCTTGCTTGTTGGCAGGCTCCACAAAGGGATTTTGGCAGTGCTCCTTCCTGGGACTAGAAATCTGCTGTCTTGTCCACTGTGCCCTTAAAGCTGCTGGCGGCTGTTGTCCACTCTGTACCCAGTTTGCAGTGGTCGGAAATGGGGTGATATGTTTGGAGCCCTCTTCTAAGTTCCAGGACATGCTGCAAAATAGCCAGAGCGGGAAACAGCGGCTGCCTTGAATACAGGAAAGAGTTTTTGAAGAAAACTATGTACTGTGCAGCGCTATATTTATTCATATTAGCTATAATTGAGCTAGCATGGTATATCTGCATTAAACTGCTGCCTTATCTGTGCAGGTGGCTATGGATGCAAAACCCTCCTCATTTCATTGGTATGTGTCTTCACATCAAGATCAGGGAAGTCTGTCTCTTGGGTCATCAAGCTGGGAATGAAATACAGACTTTCTCATCTGTGTTTTTTCTGGAGGAACAATACAGGGACAGTGACGTTCAGAAATCTATATAGTAAGAGTTGTGGGGATAAAAGCCTAACAATGTTTGTTTGACGCTGATGTGGTAATGGCAAACGTGAAGACAGGGCTGCTGTGGTTGAGGTCCAGTCTCTTGTCACTCAGTAAAGCAAGGAGTGATTATACCCTCTGCAAGCTGTGAAGCAGCAGTGAAAAACAAAAGTGTACAGTTTTAGTTAGTAAACACCAAGCATCTACTAAAATGTGATTTGATATGTACTGGCCGTCCCTAAAACAAGAAATGATTTTGGGGGAAACTCAGAATTTAAGATAGCAAGCTTTGAGACTTCAGGCTGGTGCTGTTTTTCACCTGCATATTTCCTTAATTATTTGTACTTTGCAGAAGTATGATGTTACATGAAAATTATAAGGAAGTAAATTAATGTTCCCACCTTGGAGGGAAAAGCACTTTTTTTTTTTTGCCTTTAAGCTTAACTCAAACTAGGTCAGGAACGTGACCTGCGAGCAGGAGCAGCATCATACAGACAATGTGAATTAAGCAGATTCTGGCTTTCCCGTGCGGTTGCTTAGGGGCTGAAGTGAACGAGTACGAAAACCAGGAGCATGTCCAGATTTCCTGCTCTAGCATATATATAAATCTGTAGTTGCGTGATGTTTTGTCTTGTTTTTTTCTGTCAGATTTAAATTGCCCTACATCTTTTATAAGGTTAACAGCTATCGTTAGCTCTACCGGGTCAGGGAGGAAGAGCTGATGTGATGGGTCATTAGGGTCTGAACCTAGGAACTTCAGCACCAAGACACGGACCTCCCGCCGCTTCGATGAAGGGTGGCTGGTAGCAGTAGTAGGCAGCCGTCCTCTGTTGTGGATAGCTTTTAGAAGGAGCTGTGGTATGCCGCTATAATATTTAGAAATGTGATTTTTGCCCTTTTTTTTTTTTTCTTGCCTCTGTGTTTGTACAGCCCTTCCCTATTATAGGATTAGAGCATTTTATATGAAAAATGACACTTTGTTTTGTGGCAGAAGTGTTGCATTTTGCACCAGAGAGAATTCTGTGAAAATGTAAAAACAGCTGCTTTTGCAGGATGTCTTTTGTGCTTCCGGCTGTAAAGAAGGGAATATATGAGACTGGGACTGTTAATACAGAACAGCTTCCAGTCATTCACCTTTGTTATAGAAAGAGCATATGAAGTACTCCATTGATGCTTTCTAAAACTGGACTGTCGTCAGGATCACAATGCACTGTACTTAAATGGCACAACAGACTGGTACTTAAACATTTTATCTAAATATCTTAATCTTCTTCTTGCACTGAAGTTGTTTTCTCGAGCCAAGTTGAAATACAAGCAAGCTGTAAAGCTTAAATCAGTTTGAGGAGTTACTGTTGGGAGTAATCAGAATTGTGGTGCATATTTTAGCATGTCAAAGTGAATATTCCTAATAATTTCAGCATAATGACTTTCTTACGCTTTTAAGAGTCCAATATTCCAAAAAAAAAAAAAAAAAAAAAAGATACTATGTGCCTACAACCTTAACTTCACCTTAGCAAAGATTTTTTTTTTTTGTTGGGAATGAAGCGTTGGCCACAGCTGGAGGCAGGAAGATAGACTATGTAAAGCAGTGATCTCATCTGCACTGGTAAATCTTGCACCTAATTTTTTTTTATGTCACCATACCAATAACTTTAATGGTGGCCTTTCCTTTTTTTTTTTTCCCCCCTCCCCCTCCTCCCTCCTCTTTGGCTATCACATGAACATGATTGACTAGTGCAAAGGCTTGCACACTAATAAATACCTTGCACTGTTTCGGGAGTGAAACACTCCTCTGCAATCATAAGTAGCGCTGCTGGAACTAGTAATGGCTTCACCTACAGACGGACGCCGTGGAGAGTTTGCCTTTTCTATGTAAAACCTAGTAAGGTTTTCCTGCCGTCGTACCCAAGTGCGTACACATACGGAGTAGTACCTGCTTTTGGAGGAGAGGGAGAGAAGGGAGACACAGGGATCCTTTGGTCAGGGTCTTTCCTAGTGAGCGAAGATGCTGTCGCTCTTGGTCCTCACATGCCTTTTGAGTTCTCCGTTTCCCTCCTTACGTCATGCTTCGTCCTTAGACAGGCCTTAACTCGCTACTGTACGAGCCGTTTATTCTTTTGATGTTATCCGGGATGTTTTGCACCACGTTGTGCATCAGGTGTTGCCCGCACTGTGTTTGCCTAATGGAAGTGTTAGATGTGTTGGACAGACATTGAACTGTTGAACCTCTGGTAAAAAGACAGGTACCTGCCTTGAACAGAGCATATTACTGCCTGACCCCTTTTCTCTGTTTTCTGCTTTGTGATATTTAAGATAGAATAATGATAATGGCTTTTTTGCCCAAATTTGGAGAGCAGAACTCCGAATTCCAGCTTTTTCTCAGTTTGCTTGTGTGGTCAGAACAGGCTTTTATGACTCGGGTCTCTCTCTTTTTTTCTTTTCTTTTCTTTTTTTTTTTTGATATTTTGCAGAACCTTAATACGCTCTGTTTAAAAAAAAAAAAAAAAAATCGGTGAAATACTCATTGCAGAGGTGTACAAAAGACTTCACTGAGAGCAAGTCAAAAGCGATCTTTAACTGGCATAAATGTTCTGCCGAAAAAAGGAGGGGGGGGACGGATGGGAAAGCGTTCCTGCCAGGCGAGCTTAGCTGTGATACTCGTCGTCTGTTGACATCACTAAAATTTAGATGACTGTTGATTAAATCTGCTCTTGGACAAGCTGTAGGAGAGATGAGGCTTCACCGGTTCCCTTGGCGCTGGTGGGGGGCCGCGGAGGTGCCGCGACGGCCCGGCCGTGCCTCTGCCAAGCCTCCGCGCTGGGCGGGTTGATCGTCCAAGGACGCCGTAGCCTGCGCTGCCCGGTTGTGTTTGTTAACTTGTTTTAGGGGTGTGTGTGCACGCTGTCGGCTACGGTTCTGTTTTTCGAAACCAGTTTAGCAGTTATTTACCTTTCAAGCAATTAACGTAATTACCATTATGCTAAGAAGTAATTTTGGGAAGTTCTGCTCTGAGCCCTTATGACTCCATCGGGACAGTTTTAGTCGGGGCTTATCTTTTTGATGGAAGCCTAATTGCAGTTTTGGCTTTGTGTAAACAAACAGAGGCAGCTAATTGTTTAGGCAAATAGCAGATTAATTTAAATATGCATCCCTAATAAAACAAAAATGGTCTCCATTATGGTGCTCATTCCCATGGCGAGGAATATAAATATTCAGTGGGAGTGCCATTAGACGGGGATCTTAAGGATTATCTGCATTATTTCACATGGGTAGCACTTTCCAGATACCAAATAATCTTTACAAAAGCAAACATAAATCAATTTAAACTCATTTAGATACCATTTTGCTATATGCAGTTTCATTACCACACTCTCGCTTCGCCTCCTTTGGGACGCAGGAGGAGTGTTTGCAAACTGGCATTGGTGCCCGTCCACAGCTGTCTGTCAGAGCTTTTATGTCTCCTTTTGAAGGAAGAGCTACCATTAATCACTTCATCATTAATGGCCATGCTAAAGTAGAAGGACGGCTTCTGCAGCTCCAGTCCTGTCTGTCGTGTTTGAAGATTGCTTCTCCGTTAATTCAGTGCAAAGGTGGCTCAGAAGTCTCCAGTGCTGTCTGGCCCGTCTGTTCTGTTAATACGCTCCTGATTGCTCTACGTTACTCATGTTCAAATCTTTGGCTTAATGTATCATGCTTTTAAATAGACTATTGGTGGTTTGTGCAGGGGAAAAGTGCCCATTTGTACTCTTACTTTCTTTAGAGTTTGTGTTCTGTAGCTTTCTGAAAGCAATGACCTCTTTAACACTTTCTGGATTTCGGGATTAGGAGTTTTGCTGCTGGTTGCAAAGCGTGTGTTGAGAATGGCCTTGAAATCGCTGACCTGGTTGCTCCGTTTGCAGAGTTTTAGATTCTTCACTCTGTAAAACTTTTCTGTGTGCAGTAGAATTGCTTAAATTTGAATGTGCGTTCTCTCTCCCCTTTTTTTTTTTATTTTTGGTGCTAATTAGGGACAAGTATATAATAGAACAAGAGCTTAAGTATCTGTTTAAATCTGATTTTCCCCAAAAGCTGAAGAGTGGGAGAGGTCAGGCAGCCTTCCTCAAGGTAGATACCAATGTTATCTGAAAGTCAAAAAGTAAGAATTGCAGCAGAGCCTCTAACACCAGAGGCCATGATTTCGGAAAGTTCTGCCCTGAGCCAATTATGTCCTGCTGTGCGCTTTCCCAAAGTTCTGGTTTCCTGCCCTGGACTCTCTTTTTTTGTGTATTCACCCTTCTCGTCAGAATGCTTACATGCTTACATTTTCAAACGGTCTTTAAGGTTTGGTTAAATTCTCAGATAACGCAGAGCTGCTTGTGTTGTGCTTTTGTATGCAGGAACTGTTAGTGTTTGGAGTCTGATGGTGGGGCGGGAGCCCATCCATCGTTACCAGCACAATCAGAGGATTCAGGCTTTGGCTCTTGGTTCGGAGGGTGCAGCGGTAGCGACGGCATCTGGCTTCGAGGTCAAAGTGGAAAGCCCTAATGACAGGGAGTTCTGGCAAACTACAGAAACATTTGAAATCCAGAAATTGGTGAGTCTCCAGGCTATGCAACTTCATTCCATACGCTCCTCGTTCCAGGAGCTTCTGATCCACTAATTATTTCTGGTATGGTTAAGAGGGATCTTACAAAAATCTTACAAGAGTGTTGCGTGAACTAGACAACAGCATTATCAGCTAGAGGCTGTGATTTTGTAGCAGGTTAATGGATGAGGCTTTCATCACTGAAGAGCAAGGGTGAAATGCTGGCTTACGCTACAAGTGAAAATGAATAGGAGTCCATATGGTGCAGGAGGTTGGCTGTTTCTAATTTTTTTTTTTTTTTTTTTTGTCAACATTTAACTAAGTTGGCTCATTTTGTAAATCGGCATTCTCGCATGGAATTGGAGCTAACACGGAAGGTCTCATTCCAGATCATCGCTATCTGATTAATTCTGAGGCAGGATATTGCAGATGAGCTAATAGGATCACTTGTGAAGCTGTAACTAGTTGTGCAGCTTCTGTAGGTTGCACCTTCTGTCACTGAAGTTTTGAGACTATTTCTCCCCCATCGCAAGGCGCTGACTTGTACAGCTAGTGGGTAAGAAGTTGTGATCTAAAGCGTTCCTGATGCATCCCCTCTTTCAAAACTAATTCAGTTTTATACTACCTAAAAATAACCAAAATCCCGAAGCAATTATAACAAGTTTCCCAGTAAAAATGTTAAAACAACAACACAAGCCTCCATTGTAGTTAGATCCATTTTACTCTTGCATCTTGCTTGCTGTGAAATGTCAGTTTGCAACACATGAAAGATACACCCAAGACACTGCTGTTTCTTCTAAAGCTGTGTTAGAAACTGGGTGTGCTGGTAAAAGGGGTTCAGCCCTTTCCATAGTGAGACTATTAAGCAGTGTCTTAACCATTGACTGAAATGGGAAGAGCGAGCCACATCGCTCTTGCCTAGTATCGTTTTTGTGATCTACTAGAAGATTGGGGAGCTGAAATTTGAGGTGTCCCTTTCCAGCGCACTGTGTTCACCTTCTAACCGTGGTATTTCCTTTGTGTGCTTTAGCCTTGTGATGGCCTCTTGCTTGTCTCTTGTTAATCCTTGTTCTTTACCTTCCTCTGTAAAATGCGTCTGTTCAGTCTTCTTTCCTTGATGTGACGTTTTGGTGTGTTCTGTTGTAATGTCTTCTGTTTTGTTTTTTAAGTGGGCTCATTCTAAAGACAGTGAGCTTGATTTTTGTCACAGGAGCTGAACTCACAGATTTGCAGAACTGAAGTTAGTATTCAATCTTTGTATAAATTTAGTTTGTAAGGAGGATGATGCAAGATAGCTGATATCCAGTTAATTGGTTCAGCTTAGCATATGATGATGTAAAAGAATTTTTGGCTGTAATAAACATAAAAAGTCTGCTCTTTTAGGTCAACTTCCTTAATCTGGTTCCAGATGTTACGGGGAGTCCGGTGGCAGTAGCAGCAGCGGAAGACGTGGTTTATCTGCTGAAGTCAGAAGATCCTGGCAAAGTTCTCCATTCTGTTTATGGTCAGCCCATCACGTGTCTCGATGTGTCTGCTAAAGAAGCAGCCTTTGGGGTCAAAAGCTTTGGCTGGTTATTGAATGAGCCCAATCAGGTATTTAATTTTTATTTATTTATTTACTTCTAAGATGTCTATACCTTCCCAGTTAACCAAGGAAGAAGACTTCATGCTCATGACCATTTCCTTCCCTGTCCTTTTTCTCTGTCCTATTTCTTTTTTGACAGTAGAAGGAACACTCCTTTTTTAATACAATAATCTGATGTTCATATCAATTATCTTCTGGTGAGCTGAAGTAAGGGCTTGTTTGGCTGACTGGGTTCCCTGTAGATGCAGAGCACCCTCCGCTCCTCAGTGAGGCCCAGCTGATTCAGCTGTATGCTATAGCAGTGGTCAAGGGAGAACTTGTCTCGACGCCCTCTGAGCTTCCGCCAGCAAACCCAAGCCAAAACCCTAACATGCTGTCTGAGGAGGGCAGCCTGAGTAGCGTGTCAGCTCTGTTCATGCAGTGCTCAGGATTTTTTTTCTTCTTCAGTGTTTAAACCAAATTATTTTCCACTCAGTGAGAATGGTGTGACTGTTAAATTAAAGGAAGCTAAATAACGATCTTAGGTTTGAAGCCCTCTGTAACACTGCTTCTTTTCTCAGCGTTTCTCAGCATAGTAGATCAGAACCAGACTGTTTTTGCTGTTCTGCTGAAGACTCGTGGCTGAAGCACGCTTCTAATGCGGTTCTTCTGGTTGCAGGAGATGCCTTTTTGAGCTTGCATTCCCAAGTAGTAACATAAATAGTTGAATTTCTTTGGGACTTAGAATCCTATCTGGGATCACAGTGCTCTGCCTGGGGATTATTACTGTAAAGCTCTTGAAAGACTGAGCTCTTCCTCTGATTCTCCAGAGTCTGGAGCACAGCATGCCAGTGAAACCAAGGCCTGGGAATAAGCACCAGATATGAGATTAGTTTGGATTAGCAATGTAAATATTTGTTGCCTAATTTCAATTTTCTTTGGTCAGTAAGAATTCACCATCTCATCTCTTTTTCGGGTTTTTTTTGTTTTGTTTTGTTTTTAGACTCTGTTTCCAAGAGTTTGCAAACTGACTCAGTAGTTTAGTTGTGTGAATTGTCATTTGCTTCTGTGAAACTTTAGTCATGGAGTTGAATTTCAGCCAGTAAATTACATATAACTATATAAAATTTGTACCGTAAATATATGCGCATTGCACCTGGCCAGCACAAAAATCAGAGCTGGCAGAGACCTATGCAAGCAGGAGCAGTCGCTCTGTGGCTGCAGGCTATGTGCAGCCTCTTAAGATTAGTGCAGCCAACAGCTGCTTCCCTGAAGTCTTTGGGAACAAGCAAGTTGCTCTTAACTGCAGCGATTCAGTCTGTGGTCCCTGCCTGTGTCTGGGGGGTGCTTTGCACAGAGGGTGGCTAAGCGTAAGTGGCCTGAGTTTCTCCGGTATGGCAGGGACCGGGCTGCGGACACCCTGGGGTACGTGGGCTCGGCGAATCCCACCAGCCCTCCCTCGCAGGCACAGCCTGGCTGCTCTGTACCTGGGTGGTAAATCCAGGGAGAAATTTCTAGTGGCCCTGAGAAGTTTCCAACCCTTTCCTGTGTCACGGCTAATTTTCCCTTTCCCTGATTTCATTCTGTGGTTATAGTTCAGGCTACCAGGAAAGCGGAAAGGAGAGCGCAGCATGAAGCAGGAGGAAGCAGAGGGAGAGCAGCCTGGTGAAAGGAGCTGGTGTCCGTAGTATAAAAAGGCCATGTTCTCTCTGGCAGCAGGAAAGCTTTATTTAGGGTTAACCCTGCATTAGGAATAAATCTATCCAGCTGCATCTAATTTCCCCTTAAAATTCACGTTCACTAGGGAAATGCTGAGGCCACTGTAAATACCTTTAGGGGTGAGAGATGCTGGGAGGCCACGCTGTCGTTATTAATTCCTTTGCTGTCCTAATCCAATTCTTTTCCCCACAGAGGTGGGAGGTTAGAAGGTAAAATTGTCTCATTCAGGAGCATTACATCGGCGATCACCTTTGTGCCGCATAAAGAAATAGAGAAATCTACTTAGGCCCCTGAGCGTTACTCTGTAAAGCCGGACGTATTTCCTAATCTAGTTCTGAAGTATTTGGTGTTTGACGGCAGATTGTATTAAGCAGCGCATCAGCGCGCATCCTAATCAGGGAGATGTGACTGAAGTAGCCCAGACGGCTGCAGCGTGTTTGACAAGGACGCTTGCTTGGCATTGCCGCACCAGCTGACATCACGCCGGAAATTAATTACTTATGTCTATTATGATAATTATTCTCGCGCAGACGTGAAGGGACTCTGCATTGGTTGATTATGCTGGTCACAAGTTGACAATCTGTCTTTAGGAGAGCTTTAGATCTCAGAAGCCCAGAGAATCCCAGCCCCGTTTGCTGGTGGCTGGGTTGCTCTAGTGTAAAAGCTGTCTTTCTCCTGGCTCATGAGTTTCGGTATTCCTTCCCCCCCCCCCCCCCCCCCACGGGAACACAAGGGAGAAAATATATATGTGTGTGTGTGTGTGTGTATGTATATATTTCTTAGCATAAGTTTGCACCCCTAATGTTACAGACTTAATCGTTGTCTAATTTGAACCAACTTTAACAGCAGCTTAGAGATTTGAGACACAAATTTTGTAGGGACTTTAATGTTGATGCGCTGAACAGAGAAAAAAAAAACATCAAATTCGTGGTATAGACTTGCTTCTTATGAGATGACAGGCATCTGTGCAGGAAGGTAGAGAGGATATAAATGCCTCAGCTGTGGGGAAAAAGGGCAAATTTCACTGTATTAAGCATCAGACAACACAAATATGAGCTGCACTTTTTTGGAAGTTAGCCCTCGTTTGTTTGGTGCTCCTGAAACTCTTTGTTTTCTCTTAAGCTAACAGGAATTCCTTTAATAAGGGTTATTTCAATGTCTCAGTTTGAAACGTACTGTTTTCCTTAAATACTGTATTTTTGAAATATCCAGACCTTGGTTCGAATATATGTAATGATATAGACTAGATAATGAACCACAGGCAGCGCCTTAATTATGGCTTTCCCTTTCAACCAGGAGTGATGCTCATGACATCCAGCGGACATGCCTTGGAGGACAGTGTCTAATAGGTAACAGCAAACCCATTTCATGAAGCTTGGAGACCAATGATCTAGCCTCTGCAGCGGTAGCACAGTCATTGGCGTTCACATGTTTGTATTTTGTTTATGAGCATCAAATGTGAAATTATTTGCTGATGCAACGCTACAGGCATCTGCAGATTTAAACGAGAGCTGGCTGTGGTCCTCAGCATGTCGAGGGATAAACTACTTAACGTGTTCAACGGTTATTGATGGTTAGAAACTACTCAACATGGGAGGATTTTGTTTTTTCTCACCAAAGAAACTTCTCACAGTAGTCATGCAAGAGAATTTTATTTTACATTCATGTAACTTTGAAATACTCTTCTTGAGTTGCATGCAGGATCCGTGACTCAGAAGCTGTGATTTTAAGGCCCAGTTCAGAATGCGTCTTCATTTTTGGTTCCTTTGTGCACAGAAGAGGAGGAGGATAGGGAAGAAAGAAGACAGTAGTGGTTTTAGATACTCTGTCTTAGAAACAAGAGAGACTTAGAAATGGAAGGATAGATATGTTGAGATCAGATGCCTTGGGAATTGTTTGTTATGCTGTCCCTTTTTTGTGTGTTTTGAGCTGATGATCGACTTGAACTGGCTGAATGGCGTTCAACGAACCTGCCTCCTCTCATCAGTGCTTCAAAACCAATGCTTTGGTTTTTTGCTACTGTGTTTAACGTTTCGACAGAGTCCTTTGACTAGTTGCTAACGCGAGCGTATCCAGTAGAATTAGCCCCTTGAAATGTGTGCTATGAGCTGATATTATTTGGAAAAAATTAAATTATAGATTTTGAAGTAATCCTTTAAATTGAATCTGATACTTTACAGTCTCTGGATGATGTTTTTAGGTCACATAATGTATTATACATTACACTCCTCCCTCGCTCCTTTCTGGCACCTTATTTTAACCGAAATCCATTCCTTTCTCTACTGGTAAGCTTATATTGTCTTTTCTGGTGTTGTAATGTCTTCAGTTGCTATGGAGTTCTGAAGACTTAAAATTTTTGTCTTTTTTTTTTTTTTTCTAATTTTAAAAAATGTGCTTATCAGTTTTCTTAACCACTGTGAACCTTGAAATTAGACTGTAAACAGTCTAATTTTCCACTGGCTACGTGTCAGGGATAGATAAATTGGTCTTTATGAACTCATACAAGTAGAAAGGCATGTCTTGGTGGTGACTGAATTTGAACATGTGGGATTTGCCCAAGTGTTTCCAGTTAAGGAGCTGTAGTACTGCAGAGCATTAGCAGATCTTTGAAGGTGGAAGTTTTACATACCTTTTTCTTTACAAAGTGTTTAGTATTGATTCCTGTGCATGAGAGAGAGAACTCTTTCTGCGTATCTGAACTGTATAACTTTTTAGAAGTTGGGCGTTGCCAGAAATATATTCTTTTTTCAGAAAGACTTGAAGTTTTCCTTGCCTGATTTTCGTACAGTGTAACAATTAACCTCTATCTTATTGAAAAATAACAGAATCTGCCATCTTTATTTTTGCATGCTTGTAATTGCCCTAAAATCACTTTTGCATGTTTAAAAAAAAAAAAAAATTATGCATTAGCTAATGCTAATGACAGTCTGCATTTTTTTTTCTGTTTGTGCATCGATGTGCATAGTCCAAAACTGGCACAACTGCTTAGGTAAGTATCTCAGGTTTTGAAAATGTAGTGGCTAGGATGTGCCATGAATATTCAAGGTGATTATCTGGGAAACTAGGGAATTCATTCAGTTTTTAACAACTAGCTTGCTTTTTTTTTTTTTTTTTTTTTTTTTTTTTTTTTTTTTAAACCTATCTGTCCCTAGGTGAGGGAAAGTGTGTTCTGGGGCTAGGGTTTGTTTTTTAGCGAGTGGGTGGTTCGGTGAGTAAACATCATAGCCTTTCATCTCTGGATACCTGAACTCTTACATCAATCTTCAGCCATGAGTTAAATGAGTCCAGTGACCTCCTTCCAGGTCCAAGCAGACATCTGTCCGCATCACAAAACCATCACGCTTGGCACCATCCTGGCCGTTGGCAGTCGGGGCTCAGGACGTGTCCAGTGCTGGAACAGCAGGGGTTGCAGGTGCATTGGCAAAACTGTGTCGCCGGAGCTCACGCGCTGCCTGCCTGCGCAACGCTTGGCTCTGCTCCTTGTACCAGCTTGGAGTCTTCCTTTTCTGACTCCAGTCAGATGCAAACTTAAAAGGAAAAGCTAAGTACGCTTGCCGTTGGCTTCGTGTGTAACTTTTACGGCAGGTGTAGAAATTTGGAGGAACAGGTCATGTGTGTTGGCTTTTGAGCTGCCGGGTTTGCAGCAGGTTGTTTAGATTCTCTGATGCTTTTGCAGTTCTCCGAGTGGGTCTTTAAGCATTGCTTAAGGCTGCTTAGGGCAGCCTAGCACACGTGAAATAAAGTTCTTGTTTGCCAGCCTAAAGTCACCTTTAGGATGGCATGAAAGTCAATTTTCCACATGCCCAGAGAAGCGGTTGTGTTACCAGCTTCTCACAATGACTTATATCTGGCAAGAACTTACAAAATAGTCTCTCTGGCCGATTGTCAAAAATTACATCATATTGGAGTAAACTGCTTTTAAATCAAACATCCATTATTCATGTATATTAACTGCTTTTTTATTTTTTTTTTTACTGGCTGGTTTTTGTTTGTTTTTTTCTTTTTTTTTTTTACTGGCTGTTTTGTGTATGATTTACTCTTTTTTTTTTTCTTTCTCTCTGATTGTTTGTCTCCCTCGTCTGCTCCTTTTAAATCTTAGCTCATCCTTAAATTTATGGAGCCAGAACACTTATCTCTGTGTACAAGTATCAATATGCTGACCGTGCATTTGTTAATAGTCAAAATTTTTTTTTGTTGCAGTGTTATGTGCCATATTTACAGTAGGCAATTCAATACATTTGCACTGGGAAACTGTGCCCCTGAGGCTTGTAAACTTTGAAAATATTTTTCTACATCCCTTTAGAAATAAAATTCAAACTTGCAGCGGTGTGTACCATATGTTGTACTTAATTTGATGACTTCTGCTGCAAATGCATATGAAATAGCCTTATCACTTCTGTAGATGCCATCGAAATTGAATGGTTTTGACCTGGGTGAAGGAGCGATCCCTTTTTATTTATGGTGGACTTGTGATTTCATGACCCTTTCTTTTCTTGGCAGTATTGGTGTGTATTCAGGCAGTGTTTTCTCTGTTTGGCAGAGGGATGGGCAGAAGGAAAAGGGGAGCAACTTAATTTGAAAATAAAATGCAAATTCTGATCCCAGTCTTGCTGTGTGTTCCTCTGTGGCTTTGGGCAAATCAGATTTTTTCTGTCTTGATCCTCTGCTCTGTAAAATGACAGATGCCCTTATCCTAGAGGATTCTTTCTGGGAAGGCAGTTTTTGAAGGTATCCTGCGCGTTATTCAGTGAGGAGGACGTAGGTCTTGAAAGCATGGTTTGACTATATTTTTGCTAATATTTATGATACTTTGTTTAATGCTTCATCTAAATAAGAATTATATACACTTTGTATAAAGACTACTTCACCCAATTCTGAGAGAGAGTTTTTTTTTTTTTTAAACTAGCCATGAGTTGTGGTAACTTAAGCAAAAACGCGACTGCAGAGGGAAACTAGCTATTTCACAAAGCAGTTGTCTGTGCTGGCTTTCAGCCAGGACAGCGGGTTGAACACCCCTGCTCTTGTGCAAAGTACCACAGGCTCTTTGATAACGAGTGCTTGGGGATTTGTTTTTTTAATGTTCCATCCAAAAAAGACATCTCCGACAACACAGTACCCCTAAACACCTGCTGGGGCGTTGGGCATGCATGGAAGAGTTCCATCAACAGCATTTCCTTCGTTTCCTCGGTTGTTCTTGGAAGCGTCTCAACCAAAGCGCGTAGACTACCCTTGACCCCGCTCATCTGCAAGATGCAACAAAGCTCACAGCTTAGCTGCTCTGGCTACAGAAACTTTAATTCTTTATCCATTTATTTAGACCTCTTTCTTGAGTTCTGGGATAGCGTTTTAAAAGCATTCCTGGTACCCACTGATCTGTAGCTTCCTAAAGTACAGTAAGTTTTCCTTTCTTCCTCTGCCTCTTCCAAGACATTTGCCGGGCTGTTTCTCAGCACATCGGTCTGAGGACAGTGGCCACAGGTTGAGACTTGCCCTACTCGTGCAGTAAAGGAGGAAATTAGACTAATGCACTGCCTTAACAAAAGGGAGAGTATGAGCATGAATAATGAATATCACTAGTCTGTGGCAATCGGATAAAATGAAGTCCCATTTGCTCAGCCTTATTAAAAGAGAGAGAGAGCGAGGGAGAGATGGTAAAGGTCGTTAAGGGACTTGTAACATGGAAAGAATCGCCTCTGAGATGGATAATGTGTTTTCTAATCTCTGTGGTGTTTAACTAAACATAATGGTAAAGGTACTCTGGCTATTTCTGGCTTGTTGAATTATTAAGCATTCTGGGAGATTGCTTGGCTCTTATCCAATAACTTAGACTTTTTCATTTGAACAATGGTTAATAGGTAACACTTTTTATTTTGTGCGTTAGATCCTGATACATCTGCCCAGGGTATTTAATGCTTTTCCTCCCTGGTGCCCCCGGACTTCCAGTGGGGGAAGGCATGCTCGTTAGTGCGTTATCTCGGGGTACTTCATTTCACACCCAAGTGCTCTTGGTTCACTTACCTTCAGTTCTGCACCTATTAGGTCACTGGTCTTGGGTGTCCATTATAGGATTATAAATGTCTTTAAAAGGGTAATCCCCTTGCAGGGTGCATTATAGGATTATAAACCTCCTAAAGACCTTATGCTTTACCTGCCCTTTAACATACAGGCCCTTATTTCAAGTCCCTCCTGACCAGGTATTTTCATTCTCTCTCCTTGGCCTTTTTAAAGAAAATCCTTGTTGCCATGGGGTATTATAGAAGAGCTCATCGGAAGTGCTCTAGCAGCTTCAAAGTTGTCGTCAGTATACTTTTTAAAAACCCTGTCTTCAATAAATTATTATTCAGACCTAAAAATGCATTCTGTCGGAGTGTCTTTTGTTTCTTTACCTATCAGTTTGTCAGGATGAGGTTTTGAAATTCATTTTCAGCCCATAAAATTGCTCAAGATAGAAGCTGAATTTAAAAGTAGGTAAAACCTGAATACTAAAAAGTGCAAAGAGCGCCTTCCTTTCAAATGATGGGGCTAATTGGCTAGAAATACACAGCGGCACCATAAAAAGCTGGAACAAACACACACAATCCTTAAGAGTGGAGTCTGATGTTAGAGAAGAGAAAGAAGTGGAGGGAGTAAGAGAGCAATAAGAAAGAAAAAAGCTTTTCTTTCGGTTTCGTGGACCTGAACCTGTATTTTTTTTACAGGTTCTCTTTCTTACAGGTGCAAAGGAGAAACAAATCATTATTGAGCTGGTTTTACCTACTTGTAAGAATTGCTCCAGGTCTAAAAGTAAGGTCACAAGCGAGCGAATATGTAGTATTTGCCCTGATTTAAAAGGGGGAATCTTTAAATGCTGTGTGGAAGCAAGTTTTCATGGTCATGACTGAGTTTTCCATGACTGAGTTTTCGAGTGCATATCATATGTTTATAGAATAGATGGGAGCTTTGGTCATTTAGATCAATTAATGATAGTTTATGGATGCTCATTTTAAGCATTAGTCCCAGGGGACTCTCCCAAAGCAGTGGTAGGCCTTCTCTCTTCTCCAGAGTTTTAATGCCCCGCTGGGAAGGGCTGATTCAGAATCTCACATTGGGAGTTGGCATGTATTGCTGTTGACCCAACCATTTCATCACTCATGAGGTGAATTCAGCAGAGTTTAGTGACTTTGGGTTTTGCTCAGAACTTTCAAAAGCAAGATCTGGTTGCCGGGCCCAGACATTAGTTTTTCTTTGCACTAAAAACCCTGAGAAGTACCTCTGCCAAAATATCATTATCTCCGATTACAGTGAGCTTTTGGAAGCCCTGCTGTATTTCAGAAAAGGCTATATGTTGCTCTTTACAGCTAACATTTTGAGTCCATTTGTAGATGCTTTTTCATAGGTATGGAAATGTAATTTTTTTTTTTTTTTTTGCAACTTTTATGTCCTAACTCTGCAAGGGTAGAGTGCCTGTTGCTTTACAGAGCTTGGGGAAAAAGTACTTTGTTCTTGGGGATGAAAAATCACACTCCAAAAACTGATATTTGAGGCACGCAACTTGAACAGCAGCATAATGCAAACCAGCACAGATCACTTCAAAAAGACAAGGCTGGGAAGGGGAGCTGGTTAGGAGAGTTATAAATATTAATCACTGAATAAAACAGTGCCTTCTTTTTAGCTGGGAGAAATGGCAGGTGGAGCAAACCTGCGGTGATTTCGGATGCGATGCTTTTCTCAGGCTGTTGTCGCGTGATCTGTACTGAATGTTTTGGCAGGGCCTGGCAGCACTGGGTCAGGGTTCAGTTCTCTTCTTCCATCTTTTTGTTGTATTTTATTGAATCCTTCTTGCACAGCCCATGTGTCTAAATGTTGGTTCTATTTATTTTGCTATTATTTCAAATGTTAAAGTTAACAAAGAAGCAGTTTGCTTTTCCCTGTAAGCCCTAAAGAATTGACCTGAACCTTTGGTTGCCCAAGACCTGTACCTGTCTGATCCTGGTTGCCGAGAGCCTTGCAGCCCTCGTTCTTGATGGATTCCCCTGTGCCATTGTATTTTCCTATTTCTGAGCGTGTGATTGATATTGCTATCTCAATAGGGATATATTGGTTCCGTGTTAGAATATTGAGAAACAAGGCCTGTAAACCATCCTGGTAACGATGATAATTCAGCCCTGCTTCATGCTACAGCAGTATGTAGCTGTTGTGCCTGTACTAAATGGACCTGGTGTTTGTTCTCTTTCTGCCAGGTTCTTCTTTACAATCTGGAAACGAGTCAGTGTCTAAAGAAGCTGGGCAACTCATTGGGTGACTTTACGTGTGTCAACCTCCAGGACAGTCCTCCAAACATGCTCGTTACAGGCAATAAAGACAGAAGGTAGGTACTATCAAGGGCAGTAACCCATCTCAAATTAGCTTACTTCCTGTCCTGCTGTCCTACATCTGGACCTGCTAGAATTTGTTTCTCCTCTAATGTTTCAAATGCAGCCTGCGTGAACTTCAGGAACAAAATATTAGGTAATAGTTGGACGTGGCTGCCAGTTTGCTTTGTTTCGGAGAGCTCCATGGGAAGACTTTCTTTTTAAGCCATTTGGTGGACGCAGTTGGTGTACAGCCCAGCGAGACCACTTGGAATATCTTCCACTTCCCCACCACCACCCGCAAAATTAGTTTGGCATTTAAAAGCTCACTTTCTGATATTAAAAAAATAACCTAAGGGATGAATCATGTAGGATGAGATGGGTCCGTCTGCCAAACGATGTCAAGAGTGTATTTCGGAGCACTGTGATGTCCCTCAGGTGACAAAAAAAAAGAGACTTTCGTATGAACAGATTCCAGCTTCTATTTAGCTGATTAGCAGCTTTCTCTTTAACTCCTTGGCTTGGGGAGTAGGATTTTCCCTGCACAATATCTGGTGCCAGGAATGGACGCACAGGGAACAGTCAGTGCGAAAGGATTAAAGTGCTTAAAAAGACCCTTTGAGTCCAATTTTTAGGTTTTCTTTTTCTGGCTAGTTATTTGCAGGGTCTGATCCAGTGCACCGAAGGAGATGTGGGATGGCGAAGAGCCAGTGTCTAATGGCTCCCTGTTCCTTCCCTCCTCCTCCCTGCACTGGGCATCAGGCTGCAGGTGGTGGTCTGGTGTGGTGGTGGGTATCAGCTTGTAGGGCGGATACCTTCCTTTGCCAAATCCCAGACCTCTGTCCCGCCAGTGCAGCAGCTTGCAAAAATGATTATTTTGTCAAACAGCTTTTTTTCCTTCTCAGTGAATAGGCACTGCAAGCAAACCCCACGCTTTCCTCAGCAAAGAAGATAAAGGAAACATCTGAAGTTTGATACGTGCAATTGAATCCTTGGGAGGTTTTTTCCTATAAAAGCAGATGATAGATTTTCCGAAACACCCCAGTAAAACTCCCTTGCCCAATGATGGAAGGGTAGATAAAGTTGATATCCCTTAAGTGAGATTGAAATGTACTCCCTTTACACTAGCATACATGTCTACACCCTTTCCCCTCCAGAAAGCTTTTAAGTTCTTCAGCACAAGAATTTTCTGAGTTCAGGGTTGGCTATCACTAAAATAACAGGAAGTTGGGACTCAATAGTTCAGCAGATAAGTCCGGGATCTTGAAGACAAGACCACGTGTGGCTTAAAGGTCAGTTCCTCATGTGGTGCTGCACGAAGGGTGTTAGTAGGTGCTGGGCATCCACAGGTGGGAAGTGACTTGAACCGCAATAGCCCTGGTACGGAGCAAATACTCCAAATGGGGACCTTTGCCGTATGAATTCAAGCTGCTGATGGCCAGTGAGGAAACGTATTGCTGGAATTAAATGAAGCATTTTCAAGATCTTATTGAGAGATGCTATTCTTTTATTCAAAGCCACGTTTTTGAAAAACAAAGCAAATCACCCTATTTTAAGTGAAGTGTTTTTGGTAGGATCCGTAAAATATGTGGTTTCAATCAAAAAATACTCCTGAAGCATTGGCAGTATATTTGATTGTTTATCTGTGCTTCACACTTGTAAGAGAGCCGATACAGGGAACATATGCTGATGCCCTGCACGATAGCAGCTTTTTTTTTTTTTTGGAAGGGTTATTAGACAGCAAGTGGCATTGGGAAAACAAATATGAGACAAGTGCAGTGTGTGCCACTGCTGGAAAGTGTGGATGGAAAAAAGTCTTCCATCTTCCCCTAAAAGTGAGCAAGGTTACTTCTAGAGTAGTCTGACACGAGAGTCAAAGCCTGGTCACAAGAAACCTTCCTTACGGCTCCCTTGAACTGGGATGAGTCTGATGTGCTCCCACTGAGCCCAGCTGTTGGCAGGCGATGGAGGGCCATGCCAGGTCTGCATTAGAGCATCACATTAGATTTGCAAAATGCTTTTTTTTTTTTTTAAAAGCACATCTAAACAACTCAAGCGCGCCTCTGATTCTTCCAAGGGTGTGCCAGAATGGGCACCTGCCTGAAACCTGGGCTCTTGCTAATGAGATAACCAGGACACAAGCAGATCTTCATTTCCAACTGTGCTCACCAAACAGAGGAAGCTTTTGATTGTGGTACAGAGCACATGCAGCAAGACCGGGAGAGCGCTGAATGCGAACCCTTCCAAAATACCCCATCCCTACCCAAAGCACAGCTCTAATGCATAGCCAAAGCTTCTCCCTGCTGGAGTTGGAGGAAGAAGTTCTTTTCGCCGTCAGCAGCGGTCTTGATGAGGTTTTCCAAAGGGTTACTGGGGAGCCACACAAAGCGCGCTCCTCTCTCTGTTCCAGCATGTTTTTCTGCATGTCAGATGGATGTTACTCTGCTGGAGTTTTGGAGTACTCTGCTGCCTTTTATTTCAGTTGCTGAAATGCGTTATTTGTAAAATCGTATGATGCAATCTTCATTTGAGAAAGGAAACTGAAAGACTTTGCAACGCTATTAGGATCGTAGCAGGGTATTGAATGAAGTACAGTTAATGCATTGGAACAAGTATGTTTCTGCCTTTTTTTGGGTTAATCTGTACGTGATGGTTTCGTTCTCGATAGCCATCAGCTAGGGGGGACGACTGCTGGCTTCTTTTCAACTCTGAGATCAGTATTTCCCCTTTACTTCTGTTTTCACTCACAGCTCCTTTTTTTTCTCTCATATACTTTGCTTTAGCTCTTAATCTTGATATACAAGGATCAAAAAAAATCCTCCTTTGTGATATGCACTAGATCTAAAACTTTACACCATTAGCTTTGCAGTATATACTTCTGTACTTAACCGAGCTGACTGGTTTGGTGTCAGGTAATCTCTTTTCCCACACAGGCCCGCGAGTTTCCGCCGCCTGTCTCTGCAAATAAGGAAAAAGACAAGAAAACAGATAGCTTTGTTACTCTTCTCAGAATGAAACTTCTTGAAATTACGAGAGAGATCAGAACTTTTATAAACATGTAGATAAAACAGGAGTTAAAACTGCAGTCTGGTAGAAACTTTGCTCTCCTTCACCGAGGTCGTATTAGTTGTACAGAGAAAGGAGTGCCTGGTAGAAAGGAGAAATCTTTCTCACTAATCCTTCTCCTGTTTCTGTGTTTTCTGAGTGATCAATAATTTCTGAAAATCAGATGCGTCTGAAAGGTGCCTGAGGTCACTGAAATCTTGTCAGAAGCGATGCTGGGTGCTTGTGGGTGACTGTTTCGGTGTTGGTGATCAACTCGGTTTTATGTATAAACCTGTGGTTCCCTTGATTCTTCTCTTGAATTGCCACACATTTAGTCCTTTTCTTGATCTTCATAATAATATTACGCCTAGGCCTTAATGGGGATCGCCTAGGTGCCGAGGAGAAGGCTCTTTTATCAGTACGCCAAATGCCTACTCACTGTAGCATCTGACTCACTGTAACAGCTTGCGAGGCACGGACAAAGGAGCTTTCTGGAGCTTTCACTTAGTATTCGTATCACCTAGGACTTGTAAAGAGACGGCAAGATGCTGTACGATGGGTGAAGTCTCCATCAAAAAATCGTAGAACTGATGGCAGGTGTCAGGGTGAAAACGCCAGCGGCACGAAAAAGCGTCAGGAGCCGTGACTGAGCGAGTCGGGGTTGGGCAAGGATCTGGGCGAGCAGGCAATGCCAAAATGAGCTCGTCGCCTGTGCGGTGTTTCAAATCGTTGCTGTATCCATGTTACTCTTTCTCTGGAGAAGACCGCGTGGATCACTGACTCTTTAGTCTCAGTGGAAATACGCTGAGTATCTCAAGTCGGAAAAGAGAGTATTAAGGGTCTGTGTTCAGCCATCAGATTAAACCACAGGATGGGAAGGTGGGACTTCTGCTATCCCGGCAGAGCAGCGTAGCTGTCCCAGGCGTGTTTTCATAACCCAGGGAGTACTTGGACTCTCTGGATCCGCAGGCGGCACACCCACAGCTGCTTTCCTCTCTATTCTTAATTCCCTTTCGTTTAGGGTCAGGGTATACGATCTCCGCCAAAGCGAATCTCTGTGCTCCCTCTACGCCCACCACTTAGGAGTGTCCGCGGTGCAGATGGACGACTGGAAGATTGTGAGCGGCGGAGAGGAGGGCTTGGTCTGTGTGTGGGATCAGCGGATGGGCACCAAACTCTGGGAAATGCACGCCAGGTAATTTTGTCTGCTTTCAGGGTCTTCTTGCAAGGGTGTTTATTGCATCCAGCGCACAGGAGGAACACGGGAATGCAATGATCAGGACCAAAATGAGAGCGTGCCCTTGCCTAAAGCTTCTGAGCGCAGTGCTGCAGTTAGATTGGTTTTCATTTGATACGGGAGTCGGTTGCTGGCCCTCCTGGATTCTTGTGCGTGTTTCTGTCTGTGTCCCATAGCTTTTTTACTCATTAATTAAAGGGGGTGCTTTAACCAGTATAAAGAAGCATGGGATGTTTTTCCTCTGGATTTTCCACAAGATTTTCTTGGTCTTCCTCCCCCGCCCCATTTGCTTTATTGGATCTCAGATTTAAAACGCTGGACTTCTGGCAGTTGTCTTAAGTGCAACTGCGTTTGACCATCTCACTTCTCTCCGCCGTATCTTTGTGCGGTACCTGGTTTTCTGTGCACCCCGTTCGTGCAGTGTCTCAGCAGCAACGAGCAAAGCCGGACGGGTGTTTAAACTCGGGAACGCTGATATTGTAATAGCGATTTGTATCGAAAGTACAAGCAGAGCTCAGAACTGACAGAAGACACAGTCGCTGCAGCCAAATTACTATTTCCTGACCAAGGAGAAATTCCCAGGGAGTCACCTTTGTCCAAATGAAGAGCTCGAGGATTTAGCCCTTAGTAAGCCTGAGTAATGCCCTATTTTAAATCCTAATTTTTTTTCTTTTTATTAATTTGTTCATTTTATGGTTCTTTGCCAAAGAGGAGGTAGATGAGGTATTTACAGCCTCAGGAGTTCAAGTTGGAGTTGTCATTGATTAATAGCAGGTATCCCCTCCTCTTGTGACCCTGTGAATTACGAAGCGCATCGTGATGCAGCTGATGCATTAAGGACAATATTGCACTGATTAGCTCCTGGAGCAACACTAGCGAGCGTGCCAAGGAGGGCGAGCACTACAGATCTCCTGAGCTTTGGGGATGGAGGAAGAAGCGCACTAAAAGTGAGGCCATTAGATTAAACCTTTAAAATATTGTTTAAGCTGGGCAGGAATCGGAAAGGATCACTCCAGTAAGTAGTCGAAAAGGCCTTCCTAGAGAGAGAAACTGTGTGCGAGTTACCTGTGCCTATAACCCAGTGAATGGAAAGGAAGGGCAGAAGCAAGGGAGGTGGCAGGAGACGCGTTAGGGTCGCGGAGACGAGCTATTTTAGTCCGAGGAGATCAGGAACTAAATGCTGTTACCAGGGTTCTGGGACAGCGTTTTCACCAGCGAGGGGGAAAAGGAAAGACGACTAGACCTCTCAGCTGATGCCACTGAGGGGATTTCTAAATCCGCTGTAGCTCAGTGCTCCGAAAGGGAGGTGCGAGGACGCTGGATGCTGCTCACGTCCGGAGGCTGGATGCTGCTCACGTCCGGAGGCGTCCCCCCCTTTCCCGG